GGTGCAGGAGGAGATGGGAGGGGTGCGGGCTTTGGCCAGGTGTCACTTACCTCGGGCGGCTCCCAGTTGGTGGTGCAGCGGGGCTAAGGCAGGCTCCCTGCCTGCCCTGGCCCCGTGCCGCTCCCAGAAGCGGCTGGCATGTCCCTGCAGACCCTGGGGGGGAGGATCAGGGGGCTCCGTGTGCTGCCTGTTCCCCGAGCGCCGACTCTACAGCTCCCATTGGCCAGGAACTGCAGCCAATGGGAGCTGTGGGCACGGAGCCTGCCTTAGCCCCACTGCACCACAGACTGGGAGCCGCCCGAAGTAAGCAGGACCAGGGTGCTCTGCGCACTGCCCCTTCCGCGCGCCGCTCCCGGAAGTGGCCAGCGTGTCCCTGCACTGCCCCTGCCTGTAGGCACCGCCCCTGCTTGCAGGCAGTGCCCCCGCAGCTCCCATTGGCTGCAGTTCCCAGCCAATGGGAGCTACAGAGTCGGCACTCGGGGCGCGGGCAGCGCGCAGAGCCCCCTGCCCCGCCGCAGGAATGTGCTGGCTGCTGCTGGGAGCGGCACACAGCCAGGGCAGGCTGGGACCCTGCCTTACCCCCGCTGCACTACCGGACTTTTAGCGGCCTAAAATCTCCTGGTTTGGCTTCAGTAGCCTCCGGGAGAGAGAGCCCGATTCTAGGAGACTCCCAGCGAAACTGGGAGGGTTGGCAACCCTAGTCACACTGCAATCCAAGACCCGCGGCACCAAGTCTCAGAGCGCGGGTCAGTTGACTCAAGTTAGCAGGGCTCAGGCAGTGGGCCTAAATATTGCAGAGTAGACATTCGGGCCTGGGCTGAAGCCTGAGCTCTGAGACCCACCCCCCTTGCTCAAGGCCGAACATATAAACTGCAATTTTTAGCCCCCCAGCCTGAGCCCCATGAGCCCGAGTCAGCTGACTTGGGCCAGCCATTGCTGTGCTGCAGGTTTTTGATTGCAGTGTAGACGTACCCTTAGAGACCAGAATGAGACCTAATGTGAGGCAGAGTACCCCAGCCCTGCTTCTGCCCTGTTCTTGTGCACTCCTCTGAGGCATCTGGTACCAGCCACTGACAGAACCTGATACCAAACTAGATGGTCCGTGGGTGTGATCCAGTCCGTCATTTCCTATGGTCCTATGCTGGGATGGGACACTGAGGAAGGGGAGGTGGGGGGAACCACTGGTGTGGGATGTAAGTGGAGAGGAAGGGAGACCTGTCAAGATGTGGCGGTGGCCTCTGCTGTACTCCCCGTGGGGTAATTTCCCCCCACCCCCCACCCTCCCCAAAGTGTCTTTGCCCCCAGGAGCAAATTGCATTGTGCCTCATTTTCCGCTTTCATTTTTGCAGAAGGTGACGATGAAATTTCCTTTGACCCCAATGACACCATCACTCACATCGAGATAGTAGACGAGGGCTGGTGGCGGGGGCACTGCCATGGCAGAGTTGGCCTCTTTCCAGCTAATTATGTGAAGCTACTTCAGTGAGACCTGCCATTGCCCGAACCCCTCTGCCTCTTACTGCTTCAGCGCTTTATGTGTAGCTAGGGCCGGGTTACAGTGAGCAGCTCGGCTCAGCCCAGCACGCCTGCGTGAGAGAGAAACTAACATGAAATGACAAATAGGATCCTGGGGGGCAGGCTGGCCCGTGGGGGGTGGGTGGGTGGGTAAATAATGGGGCATGGAGCCTTTCCCCTCTTGGAGGTGCTGGTTCCAATCCAGCCCCAGCGTGGGGGCACTGGCTGCCTCAGGGGAGTGGGGAATGGGATACGGGGCCTTTCCCTCTAGGTTCTCATTTAAGATCAACCCCTGGCTAGCAATCAGCAAAGTCTTCTGCATGCACTGGCCTCTCTTACCTGTGTGGCGGGCTTAGCCCAATTCCAGGTGCACCTGTATCTGTGTAACAGAAACCGTCCCATGGATGGCAGCCATCCCAAAGACCAAGAGCAGAATATGCCATGAGGAACGACGTACTCGTAACACTCCGAGGGGTTCAGCTCAGGCCAGGGTAAGGCACAATGGCAAGTAGGAGAGGGAGGCTTGAGATTTTGCTGCCTGGGGGTAAACAGGACTTCAGCCTCCAGGGTGGGGAACTGGGAACCTTTCACTTGCACTAATCTCACCAAGTTCTCCTGTGTTGAAAGTGTGATTTTGGCTGTAACATGCTGTTCCATTAAATGGGAGATGCCTGTGCAGAGGCAGACAATAAAGGAGAATCTTGCTAAGGCCTTAGACTTCCTGCCTTTTGTTCCTCTGTCCGGTGAAACTGTTGCTGGATACCGCGTCCAGTTCTGGGGTCAAGTCTTTGAAAAGGATATTGGAACCATTAGAAAGGGTTCAGAGAAGCACGAGCCGAGGTCTGGGAACAGGCCTTAGAGTGAGACACTAAAGGATGTTACCTAGTTAGTGTACCAAAAAAAGAAGGTTGAGAGGTGACTTGAGCATGAGCTAGAAGGTCTGATAGCAGAGAGCCGTTTAACGGAGCAGACACGGGCAGAACAAGAGCTAATGCACAGGGGTAATAGAACGTTTCTACTTGGAAAAGAAACTCTTTTTTTTGTTTAGAGTGAGTGTAATTAACCATTGGGACATGGGCCCAGGGATGTAGTAAATTGTCCATCAGTTGGAGTCTTTGAATCAAGCTTGGAGTCCTCTCTGAGTCAGTCTAGTTCAACCACAAGTTTTTGGGCTGGAGACAGGAATCACTGGGTGAAATTCTCTGGTCTGCATTAGGCAGGAGGTCAGACCAGGTAATTGGCTTTAAATCTGTGGATCTAGGGCCAGGTTACCTGCAGCCAGAGGTGGGGGGCGGAGTGGGGTGCCAATGGATGTGAACCCCATGTGCTGTTATTAGCAAGCTGCGCTGTAACAGCCCCCCATCTGAACTGTGTGTGTAACCCCAGCCTGGAGCTGGGGCAGCTCAGCGAGGACTGGCGCCTAAAACACAAGCACTACCCCCACCCAGCTCTCCAGCTTGCAGGAGTGGGGGCAAAGGGGCACAAGCTGCAGTATCCCTCAAGTGGGGGCCGCCTGCTACCTCAGTACACCTAGTCACCCCGAGGGCTGAGGTGTGGGTGGGGAAAGGGCTGTGGAGGGTGACCAGAGAGCAAGTGTGAAAAATCAGGATAGGGAGGGGGCAATAGGGTCCTATATAAGACAAAGCCCCTAATATCGGGATGGTGCTGATATTATCAGGACATCTGGTCACCCTAGGGCCATGGCCCCACCTACCCCCTCCCCAGCTCCTCGGCATAATTAGCATGTGTCGCTGACCCTTTTATGTACGCAGTGGGAGAGGGAGGTGCCTTGTGTCCCATTGGCAAGAGCCAGGGCTAATATGGCCCTTGGCACCAAGCCCTGAGCTCCTTACTCCCATTGGAAGCAATGTAAAACTGAGTCAGGGCCTAAGTCTAGCCTCCCAGAGCCCTTCCATCCCTGTGTCTCATCCTTCCAACCCCTTTGGAGCCCACCCACCAACCCCAGTGACCACAGCACATGCACCAGTTCTGGGAGCCTGTATTGGGATTTGTTACAGTACGTCTGCAGTGTGCCCACCCTGGGGTTGGCCTGTTACACAAGAGAGAGCTGGGTAACTCTCACAGCTTGCCCCAAGCCTAATGCACAACAGGGTGCAGGGAATGGATTGAACTGGAGTAGGGTAGGAGTAATGTGTGAGCCATTTCTTTTGATCGTATACAAGAGAAATCCAATACAAGCCTTTCTGTTAAAGAGCAAACAGACTCATGTAATATATGGAGATATACCTATCTCATAGAACTGGAAGGGACCCTGAAAGGTCGTCACATCCAGCCCCCTGCCTTCACTAGCAGGACCAAGTACTGATTTTGCCCCAGATCCCTAAGTGGCCCCCTCAAGGATTGAACTCACAACCCTGGGTTTAGCAGCCCAATACTCAAACCACTGCACACCAAGCACCATCCTGGCAGCTGCTGAGCCAGACCCACAATCCCCAGGCTAGGATTCACTAACTACTACTTTAGAGCCATTTAAATACCATCAGAGTAGTAATAACCCAACCCTGGGGCTGTTTAGTAACAGCTGAGCGGCTACGTCCCACAAAGCACAGCCCATGAATGACAGCTTCAGCAACAAGCAGCAGAGCCCTTGGCTATCAGCGCTCACTCCATCTGTGCCAGCACCTCTTAGCTGAGGGTCGCTGGGAGCTGCACAGATATGGACGACTCAAGCACCTTGGAGTAGCGTAAGGTCCCTGTTCGGTGTTGGGCACAGAGCCACATTGCTACCAGCACTCTTTACAGACACGGGAAGGCAATTGTGTGATTTATTTTGGAGCAGTTTCCCTGCAGTAATTTGTCCTGTCCCCTCTCCTCAGGAACGTCTGGACTCTTGGAAACATTTGCTATATATTTCTTGTGTTGTCTGCCTGGTGCCCCTGTCTGTCATGTTCCTGTACCAGGTACGGACGGGCTGCAGAGCTTCCATCTGCGCCAGAGGCACTCCAGATCTGCTCATCATGAGCTCAGTCAATGCAGTGACACGTTAGCTTAGAAAACATTTGACACAGGGTGTCACCTAGTGGCTGAATAGTGTAATACAGTTTAACGTTCCACTACCACTGCTCTAGAGGCTCTGGCGGGCAGGGCCCAGTGATGCGGGGGCACGTCTGTTCTTCTGGGGCAGGGGAGTGCGAATACATCCAGTCAAATGAGATCCATGAAAATTGCTGTAGATGCGGGGGAGGCGTCTGTAATCCAGCTGGTGCTAAGGGGCAAACCCCACCCCCAGGTTACATAAACATTCTTTCCAGAAGTGGCTAAGGGGTGCCCCCTGTTGGCAGCTAGCCAGATGGCGTCCCAGAGAGGAAGTGGTGTCGGGGCAGTGCTAGGAGTTGGGAGGTCTCTCATGGAAGAAGCTGCCCAGACTCAACTCCCCCAACCCCTTCATTCCTCTTCCAGCCTTGGGTGCCCTGTAGAGGGAAGCAACCTTCCAGCACCCATCTGCCGGGGAGGGGAAGGGAGCGATCGGTGACTCTGCCTCACCCGGCAGAAAGTGTGAAACAATCCTGCTGCCTTGCAATAGCCCAGCCCCTGCTGCACAGAATACCAACTTTTTAAACAATTATGTTTCTAGCTTTTATGGTTGTATGGAAACCAAATGAATGTGTTTATCCCCATCCCAAACTGCCTCCCCTGTGGCTCAGACACTCAGCTCCCACAATGTAGTTCTGCATTTTCAATACAAAACTCTGCAGTACCTTGAAATCTGAAAATTATGGAGCAGCCTAAAATAACCTGAATATTATGATAATCAATAGTGAGTGTGTGTGGGAGGAGAGGGGATTTTTGCTGAATGAATTATTTCACATGACAGCTTCTATTAATCTGATGCTACTCTAACGGTTCTGCATCCGTTTTGCAGAATCTAGGGGCTTTGTACAGGACTTAGGTCGAGCATGATGCAGAACAAACAGGCCTTGATTATCTGCAGGTCACACACTGCTTCTGCGCTGTGTGACTCCCTGAAACCACCTTCTGCTCTATCAGCCAGGCAGAGAAGCCTAGCGTTCTATTTCCAAACATGTGCAGCAGATTTGCACATGCAACATATGCAGTTGTGACTGCCCACATGCAGTTCGTGAGTTACTGTCTGTCTGTCAAGAGCTTTGAAGACTAGAAGTGCTAAAAATGGCTGTAATTGTTCGTTTTGAAATGCAGCCAGCGGCTAAGGCCGATACCACGAGTGCTGGCCATTTGTCTGTCTCCAATATCACGTGCCCTGCCGTCTGCAGCTGCGTGGTGTTTGCCCATGTCAGGATATTTTCATCTGCAGTGTAAGCGATTCTCTTGAGTTCCAATGCGATGCACATCTCAGAGTGGCAGGTCCAGCGGAGCAGTCTGG